CCTCCACTCTATCTACCGTCTGTTACATCAAGATCTGTGCACCCAAGCTGTCGTGTAACGGGTCAGAAATCCCACAAGGCAAACCCGATCCACTTACCATTTAACTAACGGTTAATTAATTAATTGAATTATCTTATCTACTCGCGCCTATAAAGTAGGTTTGTTGGCCGGCCTAGAATTTTTTGGACGTCCAGATTCATTCCTCTTCTCTACTTTTCATGTGGACCAAGGAGTATGCCATCCACCGGTTTCTTTCCGGCCAGACACCCTTGCCGCCCACGTCCGCGGGTTCACGGCCACGGTTACGCTGCCTCGCCGATGTGCATATGAGAAGATATAAGATCGGCTACTCCCAGCTAGTTAGCTTGAACTGCGGTTGCAACACATGTACGTGAGCATTAGAATCTTGATGGATTTTTTAATGTACTGCACGTCTTAGTTGCTGATGCCTTTATCCCAAGTAAATAGTATATGTTTAACTTCTTCTATAGTGGTCTGCAGTGTATACTATTATCGATGATTTGAATGATTTCCTTCTCATTCCCCTCAGGCTGCATGCAGATCCAGATTCTAGACAAACTCATAATTTCTTTGATATTTCTCACCATTGGAGGGCAGTGACGATTGAGAAACGAAGTGACATATATAAGAGATCCACCTCCTCCGACACCGGTGAGAGCCAAGCGGCAACTTCGATGGTTGCCATTGATTTCCTCGGCAACGGCGCCGTGTGGCAGCGCACGGCCAATTGGTGGCTGCGTCTGCACTGCGGCTATCCCCTGTGCCTGCTTTCACGCTGCGTCTATGGCTCATAGGGCGATGCAATGACGTACGACTGCAATATAGTTGCTCGCACAAGTTCATGGATGAGAACAGGACCCAAAACATTCATGGATGGCCGACACCCATGATGTATATGATCGACTTGCGTCACTTTGTATGCATTATGTACGTACGAGTTCAGATCATGTACTTCATACCAGATGTATCAATTCCAAGTATATAAGTAAACAATATATTCCACCTAAAATTAAGGATGTATATTTTTCATACACTTTATTTTTTAGTTCAAAAGATGGGTCAACGGAGGCTCATCACATATACATCATCCTCGCCGGCCAGTCGGCTGGCCATGCACATGTACGTTCTTTAATGACATACTCCACAATCAATACTACATACTCTTTTTTGCGTGGAATCAATACTACATACTTGGATTCTCAAATACTCCCTCCGTAAACTAATATAAGAGCATTTAGATCACTAAAATAGTAATCTAAACGCTCTTATATTAGTTTACAGAGGGAGTACTACATACTCCCTACTTTCTTAAAAAATAAATACTCCATACCATATACTCATATTTGGAGTCTACATACGGCGAGAATTATGGAGATATCACCACATACTGAACGACGCTGGCGGTGCATTACATTCACGTATATGATATACTCCAAACTAATTGTGTGTTGCATGGCTGATCTTTTTTTTTGCGTTCAAACCTGAGAGCTTTTATTCAACGAACGAGGTCCTGGCATCATCAACCAACAGGCTGGTGAACAGGAAAGATAGTCTCGAGTCAGTCCAACACTCGGTAACCACCGGTGTACATGCATGTTTTGCACAAAGGTGGGCCGGGACATTGGCTGTTCGCATTATATGTTGAATAACAAAAGAAGAAAAAGTAGCAGCTAGCTCTCCAATTTTTATAAGTAAAGGTGCCACCACAGAAAGGCTGGTGTGGCGAATATACTACTACATACTTTTTAGCGGGTTAATGATAATACTACAAATTTTTTTTTTTGCAACGTACTACATACTACTTAGACCTTACTCCATGCTCTTTATTTTCAAATACAACATACTCTTTTTCGTCAAAGAATACAATATACTCTATACTCTCCTCTTAAATATACTCCATGCGCATGACTTCTTTTAATGAAACCGAAACACACACTCTTACTTGTTAAAAAAGAGAAATACACGCTGTTACAATAGTATATACTCCTAGAGAAATATGATTGTAAATGAAACCATGCCATGCATGACGTAATTCACATCCGTATATTGGTTGCAGTCCATACCTCATACAGTCCTTGAAATATTCCAGTCCATCAGACTAGCGATAGCTAGTCATGTGCTTATCCATCCAACGATGGTTCGCTGCGGCTTGCCAAGAATCAAGGGACACGTTCAACAAACACCTTAATTATCTAAATTGGTGGCTGCTAGCGGGTTAGAGGGTTCTGGACACGTTCGCTACCCCCGGCGCACCCGGTTGCCTCCTACTACGAGTCTGGACACGTGGAGGGCAGACAAAGTGGTGGTAACTACCACTGCCTGTAGATAAAATTTGCCAAGCAAAGGAATCATACCACCATTCTGCAGGCCTAACATAATTGTGGTGATGCAATCACATAATTGTGGTGATACAAAAAGGACATAGTAGTTGGAAAGTTAAACGGCTATCTCTTCCTTCCTCTAGTTGCTGAGAAGAGTATTACATACTGATAAAAAGTTAAACTGCTATCTCTGGGTGAAAGAACATGATTAGAAGGATTACTTCCGATCAAGATTTTTTTTTGGCAAGGAGATAGCGAGAGAAAGAAATATCGGTTGGCTACATGGAGTGTGTTATGCCGTCCCCAGGACCAAGACAGGTTGGGCATTCATGACCTTGAGGTTAAGAATAGGGCCCTCCTCGGTAAATGGTTGTTTAAGTTATTGAAGATGGTGTATGGCAAAATCCTTCTAAGGAGAAAATACGTGGGTTCAAAGGCGGTATCCAAAGTATACTGGAAGCCCAGGGACTCTCACTTTTGGGCGGGACTAATGGTTTCTTCCGCTCTAGTTCCTTCTTGATTAAGGATGGCTCAAAAATTAGATTCTGGAAGTATAAGTGTCTAGGTAATGCTACACTCCTATGAACTTAACAGCTACCTGCCACGGTAATGGATACACTAAAACTGGAATCTGTAACAGGTATCTCGAGGTACAGCGCCATAACTCAACGGCAAGGATAAAGCGGCCGGGGTGTAGGTGCTCAAAAAATCCGCATCCCTGGATGTTATAGCACAATGAAAATTGAATACCTAAAGAGAAGAAAACAGTAAGAAGTTGTATTCCAGTGACGCATAGTTGTTTGATGCAAGTTCAATTTCTAAAAGTTGACAAGGTTAGCTACAACTAATACTGCATCTTATAAGATAACAACTGCAGTATATATGCTTCTGCCCTTGAACTGTACAGATCGAAACAAAAGTTCTAATGCAACACTTGAAAAAGAAGGCCCCAGGGTGCATACCTTCTCTGCAGCAGGGATAGAACACCGGGAGCAAAAACCGAGAGGTGGGCGGCAACAATGGCCTAAGAGAAGATGCTGAGGAAGCCGGGGTCGCCGGTGCCCACCTCCACCTCCAAAGGGCAGAGGGCGTCTGGCGTCTAGATGAAATTACCCAGCTGTAATATCCCCGTTCCTCTCCTGCACTCGGCCAAGGGTTCCCCAGTTCTGCATAAGAGACCAACAATTTTGTACAAACAGCTCAGTTGAATTCGACTTTGGGGATCTGAGAAATTTTGTGGGCATCCTCCCCTTGGCACCTCGCAATCAGACTCGGACATCGAACAATTCTAAGTAGCTTCAAAGCAGAGAGATTCTGTATGCTTTCAGGCAAACATGTCAGGCTGGGACAATCTCTGATGAAAAGTTCTTCTAGAGAAGTCAACTGTCCCAACCATTCCGGTAATATCTCCCGGCCTTTGCACTGTAGCAACCTTGGTTTTCTAAGAGCGGTGAGATTCTTCATGCTTTTGGGCAAAGATGTCAGCTTAGGGCAATTGTGGATGTGAAAGAGTTCTAGAGAACCAAGCTGACCCAACCATACCGGGAGTGTCTCCAGGTCATTCAACGACACCAACCATAGTCCAGTGAGAGAAGTGAAGCATCGCATGACCTCTGGCAAAGTCCTCAAGCCACTGATGGAGTATACATAAAAATTCTCCAGGGTGGTAAAGTGTTGAAAACTATCCCACCTGTCTTGAGAGAAACTACAGCTCTTCAGAACGATCTCAGAAGGATGAATATAAGAGGAGAGGTTTCCAAATCCTCGTTCTGGCAAAACTGTGTCGCTGTTGCTCAAACCCCAATTCATACTTCTTGGGGGATATGTTAGGAACTTCAACTTTGGACAGTCCACTACAAACAAAAAATGCAAATTGGGGATTAAGAACTCTTTGTTTTCTTCACCTGTCTCTGTTGTCCACCATTCCACCAAATTCTTCATCAACTTCAGTGTCAGTATTCTTAGTTTCATACAAGGTGTGCCCTCTCCATAGAATTCCTTGCCGATTTTCCTAATATTGGGAATGTTTTTCAGACACAACATTCTTAAATTTGGCAGTGCCCCGAATGGACGAAGAGAATCACATGCTTCCAAACCATTAAGAGTCAGTTCGCTGAGAAAGGGGAGATAGGACGAGATGTGAAACATCCAGTTAGGGAAATCCTTGCTGCTATACCCAAGTAGCTGAAAGTGTTCAAGAGTCCGAGGAGGTACGAGCCTGTCCAGCACTGATTTACCTCCTTGGTTTTCCCAGAGAAGTTTAAGCAACCGAATATCTGATTTATCACGTAGTCTGACTCTGTCTGCATCTTCTGGATGCCTGACATTTTGAAGCCCTGCAAGTATCAGCTCTGAACAAGTCAATCCCACAAGGTCCACTATACTGTTGCATCCTCTGCTCTCTATCTCATGTATGTCATGCCTTACTGTGCCCACAAGATTTAGACGCTTTTGAATGGCTGGAATCTTCTCAAGCAGCTCAGAAGTTGGAGTATCAATCACAAACTGGGTGAGACTGGTCATGTCACCAATGCTATCAGGGCAGTCATACATATATAGAAGGCCATTCATGTGCACCAAATGAGGAGGGGAGCTCACTGAGCCTCAGACAGTATGACAAATAGAGACAACTCAGCTTAAACAACTTGCATACTGACTCAGGCAATCGTCAGAGTTTAGGACAACTTGTTAGGTTCAAATACTGAAGCTCGACGAGGTCACCAAAAAAGTCAGGGAGTTTTTCAAGGTTATGACAATCTGAAAGATCAAGGTACTTCAAATGATTAAGTTGGCAAAATGACCCTAGCAGCACTGAAATCTTGTAGCAACCAGAGAAGTTCAAGGACTCAAGTTTCTGAAGGTGGCCAAAATCAATTGGCAGGTTTTCTAGCTCATGGCAACTCAATAGGTTCAGATGCTCTAAACACGGAAGGCTTATATTGTCAGGCAGTTTGCTGAGCTTTGAACAACTTGACAAGTTTAAGAAGGAGAGTTTAGGAAGGCTACCAAATTTATCAGGGAGCTTTTGAAGAGCACAACAATCTGACATGTTTAGGTGGTGTAAGCATGTAAGCTCACAGATTGATTCAGGCAACTCTTGGAGTATACGACACCCGGATAGATTGAGAAAAAAGAGTTGAGAGAGCTCCCCTAGTGATGCAGGCAGCTTACTGAGGATGCTACTGCCAGATAGGTCCAAATAGCAAAGTTTGCCGAGGCAACAAATACTGCCAGGTAAGGTTCAAGCAAGGAATTTGACAGAATAAGAGTTTCCATGTTTTGGAGTGTATGAAAATTCTTAGGAAGTGATGTTATTGGCAAGCCTGTGGCATCAAGATACCGAATTAGCTTCAATTGACCAATGGAAGATGGCAGCACCACGCTACTTGGAGCAGATTGGCCTTTAGCTGAATGTCCACTTAGGTCCAAGACACGTATGTACTTGCACCGAGAAAATGCCTTTTTCGGGAGTTGCATTCCCCCCAAATCCCTGAAGTGGAGGGATCTAAGTTTGCCTGGAATATATTTGAAAACCTTAGGATCATTCTTCAAGTTGGTTAACTGTGCATGCCGGTAGTAATGAGGTCTGTTCCAGCTGGTGCTTTTGGTAGCATTGAGATTAATGAAGTCATCAAGGACAATTCTTGACACAAGATCATGCACCAAATCATGCATGATGAGTTCTGGAGGAGTTTTGAAATGCAATTGACTTGGACTAACCTACAGAGGTAACTACTATCAATATAGTATCGTAAGGAGAAACGTAAAACAGCGACAGTATAGCAAAGTAAGAAACGTAAAATTGAAACTTCCTGAAAATCTGTGGAGCCCTTTACAAGAACTTTCCTACACAAATTTTTAACTACAAACTATGGATTGTCATATAAAAATATGAAATTTCGCTAACCCATCGGTGGTGGCCCCTGCCCCAAAGTTGGTCGAGGGGGAGGGGGGGGGGGGATCACATTCACACTGCTCCGGGTGGAGGAAACGGAAGGCAAACATTAATCTTAGCTAGGGCTAGTGTGGTCTCTTCTTCGGGAGATGGCACTCATGGCTTGGGGTCTGACAGAGTGGAATGCTCCCTTCGTCCCAATTTACATGGCGACCTTGCATTTCGTGATTGAAAATTGACCATCAATTTGAAAAATAATATGTGAGTCACGTGTCATAAAAATTGTACCACTAGAAACATTTTGAGTATGAATTGAATGATAATTTTTGTGACATATAACTCATGTTGTTATCGACCAAATTGAAGGTCAAAGTTGAAGCTTGAAATATGTGGACACCGTGTAAATAGGGAAGGAAGAAATACAATAATTTTGAATAGCGCTACCATATGCACTTGGCCCATGGTTATGTCTTATCTGAGCCAGATTCACGTGAACCACATAAAGGAATATGAATCATCTCTCGTCATTTATTCCTGTCAACTGTCTCTCTCAATACCATCGCCGGGAGGGGCCTGGCATGTGTGACCGCCTTTGCAACCCTAAGGGACTAAACCTAAATCCCTCTCCCGAAGCCTAGCCCTCCCTTGGTCCCTCATCCCCTCATAGCTGCCCGGTGCCACCCTCTCTCTTCCCCATATTTACCACATGACCACGTCGCCGCCGCCAATTGCCACTTCACCAGCAGTCGTTTGCTAGCCCGATCCTGCTGGCCCGCCCTATAGCTCTCCTGTTCGCTCGCTGCCCCGCTCCTCCGGGCCGTGCACACTAAAACGCTGGCACGTCCCGACCTCGCCTCTGGTTGGTACTAGTAGTCATTGGTCACAACACCTCCGTGAGCTATGTATATCCATCTCCAAATGCCCTTTGCTTCATTAATTCCCAACCGTCACCAGGTTCTAAAACATCCAACTCTATTATTTCAGACTCAGGAACTGGGCAAATTTTCCTCTGATTTGCAAGAAAACCAGTGCGCAATTGTTGCACTATGCGTAGGTTTCGGGTAGTTACTATAACACGGCTGCCCTTTCGGCCATGCTGTAACATCTCCTTGAGCCTTTCAAGATTATTTCCATCTTCTTCCCAGAGATTATCCAGAACAATCAAGTATCTTCTAGTAGCAAGTTCTTTGCTCAGATTATCATACAGAAATAGCAAATCACAGTTGTCAAGGTTGATAGTGTTATCCATCATTCTTTTCAGGATGACACTCCCAATTTTGTGCAAATCAAACTGCATGGACACATTAATCTGGTCTATTTTCTTCATCACCTTTTTCATCTTGTGGGGCATGGTCATTCGCTGCAGGAGTTGATTGTTTCTCGAAAACCATAAGCTGACCTGCAAAAATCAAGCAATGATATCATCTTATTTTAGATTCAGAGGGGCCAGGGGTACATGCAGGCAGGCAGAACTGAAGAGGCTGGTATAAATTAGTCTCTGGAGGCCTCTGCGTAGACTGAAGAAGAAGAAGAACAGGGGAGCGACAGCTTAAGAGACGGAAGGAGGGAGGAACCGGCTGACAGGAGATGGGAGAGTAGAAGAGTTAGTTACCTTGGATTGTGTGTTGCTGATGAGCCCATCGGCGTCAAGCTCATCCAGCACGTCCTCGACGTCGTAGGCAACACGCTTAAACTTCATAAGCCACCGCTGAAACACTCCTCCGGCTTCCCCTCCTCGACGCGACCTCTCGTCGGCATCGCCCAGCACGGCCTCGATATCATTCATCTTCTCCCCCATCTCCAGCACCTGCTCTCTGTACCTCCACTGCAGAGTGACTTCCGCCGCAGCGTATTCACCGGCGACAAATAGCTTGCTGACGATCTGCTTCGCCACAGCGACGGCAATCGCACACCCAAGCCCACTCATGACCATGGCTCCCCAGCCAGCAGCGTACTGAACCCAGGACAGTATTGATGTGTTTGTGGATTGTAAGAAGGCACAGTGAGGTAGGCAACCTCTCGGACTCTTGGTGGGATTAATTAGGTGCTTGGTTGCTGTGTTTGTGTGAGCATTGGGTTAAAGAGAGAAGTAACCTTTCATGGTCCTTTTTTCTACATTTCAAATGAAACTATGAAAAGTGAGGCTTGCAACTTTGGTTCCATTCAAATTAAAATAGGAAGACACCATTAAGCAGCTATATGTGTACCCGTTGCTGCCTTCACGGAGAATAGGTGAATGGGACTAAAGTTGCAAGACTCAGCAGCCTCACTTTTCACATTGGCATTCCAGAATGTGAGCATTGCTGCTCTGCTGTGTTTGAGAACTCTCAATGGGTGCGTGATCATTGGCTTGACGAGAGAGACAATTAAGGAATCCCTTTTTGCTTTGCTTTGCCAGTTGCATTCAAATTAGAATACTGATGGTGGAACGAACGTTGCAACAAACCTCACTTTTAAAATCGTAATGAATGGAGTTCTAGATCAAATGGGATCAGATCTTCACTGGCTGGTGTACGTAACGAAGGTGCAACCGATTATGTAAACTACTTTAGTAATCTAAACGCTCTTATATTTCTTTACGGAGGGAGTACCTGCCACTTGCCATGTTTGACGAATATGCTGGTAAATCAATGTGATTTGCCCCTTCCACAATCATGCTTATTTCATTTTCGAAATGACGCAGACATGAAGCAGTTTGTTGGAATATTAGAGAACCCTCTGCAAACAAACTGACAAAATATAACAGCGGGATGTGACCGACGAAATAGTTTGACTTCCTCCCTCCTGAACTGAAAGCCTGAAATGAAACTGAAAATTAGTACAGTATTAATCAAAAGTCTTGTGTGTAATCAAACTGCATAACCAGCATAAACATCGAAAGGCATCACTGCTTAAATGCAGACTCGATTTTATGCCCAATATATATGCTCAACAGCTCCAATTGAAAGAAACAAATCACTGAGAGGCAACAAGTAGTTACGGAAGATTTTGCAGATACAAACATGGGAACTAGTAGTAGGGTACAGGTTGATCCTTTTTATTTGATTTGTTTTCTTGGGGCAAGCAAGCTAGAGGAAGCAGGGAGGGCCAAATCAAAGCTGAAAGCACTCACATACATTGCTGCTTGAGCTCCAACCACATTGGGGCCGGGACGTAGAGAAAGAGGAGGGGGAAGCTGAGGTCGGCCGGCGAACCTCCGCAACGTCCGACCTCTTACTGCTCCTTCTGGTAATCCCTTCCTCACAACACAACCCAGAGAAGTTCCACCGCCGCCCAGTTCAACGCCAGCCACCACCTCTGTCCGCCGCGCCCGGCTACGAGTCAGTCGACCAGATCCGCTGCTGCCCAACAAGTCTGTCCACCGTTTCGAGGTTTTGGGAACCGGGTTTTTTTGGGTTTTTTCTTTTCTTTATTTATAAGCAAATGTTAGGAAATCAAAAAAAAATGTTCAAAATTTTGGGAAATGGTCAGAATTACAAAATTTATTCGTATTTCATAACATGTTCGTGATTCAAATTGTTCCCACATTTTAAAAGATGCTTGGGAATATTGAAAAATATTCAAAAATTTACCAGGAATTTAGAAAATATTCATGTTTTAAAAAAATATTTTGTATTTTAAAAAGTAGTCACATTTTATTTATTTTTAGAATTTCGAAAACATCTGTGTTTTTTGAAAAAGAAAATTAAAATGGCTAAAAGAACTCGACCTACAGTACCTGGCTGCTGCAGTGCTTCGAATCGCCACAGTGCCGCTGGGCTTCGAATCGCCAAAAAAACCAAAGCAGTTGAATGTCGTTTAATGGGCTGGCCCGTTCGCCCGCGTGTCATCCTGGGATTCTGATCCATTTGACGCAAAACATAGGAGTTCCCGTTTTCTTTGGGTCCGGGTCAACGAAAGCCCTGCAATGAACAAAGCCCAACTCCCATTGAAAAAAACCAAAGACCAATTCATGATAACCAAACTGGAGCTGTAAATTTTGCTCAAAAAAGGAAAAAAAAAACTGGAGCTGTAAGTAACCATGTAAAAACTGCTTGTTTCTACGGGGCTGGCTTCTTCTCCCAATTAATTCAGCATGGTAAATTACACGGCCATTGGTCTGGAGAGTGAGCTGTGTTGTCTTCCGTTCCATGGGCGCCAGGCAGGGTCGGTGATGGTCTGTTGTACAGGCAGGTGGAAGATGTGCGCTATCTGGAACTGGAAGACAATTGATAGCCACATTAACAAGTTGAGTATACAAAGTAAAAGCAGTAATACATACATGCATACATACATGAATGAATGACGCACTGCAAGAAATGATACAGTTAAAAGTAATCACCTTACGGGGTCAGAGCTGACAGGGAATACATACATTAAGTGTTAATGCAGCAGCTGCAACACTTGAAAAAGAAGGCTCCACGCCGCCACTTACCTCCTCTCCTCTGCAGCAGCAACACCGAACAAGTATGGACTACGGAGTAGAGCACTACGCGATGATGTATGTAGCCACCAGGAGGAAAGATGGAGACGATGGCCTCAGAGAACGACCTCTGCATAAGAGACCAACAATTTTGTACAACCGCTTAGCTTTTTTTTTTGAGCGGTTAAACCAAGCTTTATTTAGAAAAGTCCACATGGTGTGGGATACAACGCTGATCATGGGATTGGCCTACCCATAGGTGGCGCCCCGGTCCCATTGAAAAAGCATGCTTGGCTAAACTATGTGCCTCAATGTTGACAACACGTGATTCAAAAGTAAATGTTAAGCTAAGTAACGAAGATAAACTGTTTATTTCTGCTACAATTGCTCCATTCGGACTCATGCATGAATTGTTGATAGCATTCACGACGCCCTTCGCATCCGAGGCCACTAGCACATCCTGGAGATTTAGGTCTTGGGCTAGGGCTAGTGCTTCCCTGCATGCTATCGTCTCCAGAATTGCCGGATCATCGACACCTGCTACTCCAAGAGCTAAACTCCCCAAGAATAATCCATTAGCATCTCTACATACCGCCGCTGCGACTCCTCCTGTGCCCTTGCGGCATGCGGCGTCGACATGTATCTTGGCCACCCATACAGGTGGAGCTTTTGGTCGTTGGTTTTGATGGACTGCTCCCGCTCCTCACGTAGAGGTACTCGGCCCTGGTTCCCGAACCAGTTCAAGCGCTTTTATAAACCGTCCGATGAATGCATGCGTGCTTTGTGGACTTTGAAATATTCCTTCATGAATTGCTTCAACTCTGAAATTGAGACGATGGCCTCAGAGAAGAGAACGACCTCTGCATAAGAGACAAACAATTTTGTACAACCGCTTAGCTGAATTCAACTCTGGAGATGTAACAAATCTTCATTTCTAGACCGTACAACAGCGAGCAGTAAACTGGGCCGGCCCAGCAGCAAATGATGTGTGTAGTAAAACTGCTCTGTAGTGGACTTGAAGTAAAAAAACGCGTTTTCTGTTTTTTTTTCTTTCATGAGAGGCACGGTTTTGCTTCCGCGAGAGGCACGGTTGTGCTTTCCTGAGAGTCACGGCCGTGCCTTTTGAAAATAAAAAAAATGTGTTATCTATTTTTTTTCCTTCCGCGAGAGGCATGGTTTTGCTTCCGCGAGAGGCACGGCTGTGCTTTCACGAGAGTCACGGCCATGCCTTACGGAAACGGAAAAAAAATGCGTTTTCTGTATTTTTTTTTCTTTCCCCGAAAGGCACGGTTGTGATTTCGTAAGAGACACGAGCATGCCTCTTTCGTTAAGGGAAAAAACACGTGCTCCCGATTCGGTTTTTTCGTCCGTTTTTTTCATGAAAAAGAGTTCGGTTTTTTCGTCCAGTTTTTTTCATGAAAAAAAAGTTCGTCAAAACCTATCAACATGTGATCTAGTTTTGAAGATCTCGACGTGAGGAATCCAACGATGAAAATGATTCGAGGTTTAAACGCACGGTTAAAGAGATAAAACATTTTAAATAAACAGATCTACGAAAAAAAGGGAAAACTCTCATGTTGCGACAAGTGGCTCACATGCAGCGCGCCACTTGTCGCAACCTGGGAAAGTATGATTGATCTTTGTAATGAATACTCCTTAACTAGTGATTTCAGGAAAATCCTAAAAATGGTCTTTGTAACGAGTACTCCTTAACTCCGACATCGTTTGCATGTTGCAACACGTCCGACCATTTAACGGTCCTTCACCAAGAAAACTCCAGAAAATGATTTTTTTCGAAAACTCAAACAACTTGGCATAGTGCCTTAAATTGGCAATATAAGCTCATGGAATAAATTTGGGTTATGTGATGGATGTTGAAAAATGGTCTCAAACAGACCCTTCTTGTCTACACGAACACTCTCCATTGAATATGATCTTTTTTGACATGCATGAAATGATCTAACTTTTGTCAGCGGGTCGGCATGCCCATGGAAAGGATCAGATTCAACCAAAGTAATTAATTCTGGGTCGACAGAGAATTCATAATCCTTATCAGTAACAAAGATAGGTGAAGTAGCAAACTTAGGATCACATTTCATTCTAGCATTCTAAGATTTTTCTTTCAGTTTGTATAGTAATTTTTTAAAATCATCTCTATCATTGCAAGCAAGATAGTCTCTAGCTATATCTCCTTATACATAACATAACCTTCAGGTATCTGAGTCATTTCAAATCTAGGAGAGCTAGGTCTAATAGGTGTTTCAAGATTTTTAGCTTTAAGAACTTCATCACTTTCAGTAATTTCGTCAGTTTCAGCATTCTCAATATCTTTCGGTCTAGCAAGTTGTTCATCAAGAAATTCACCTAGTGGCACATTATTATCAAGCAATGTACTAGCATCATCATAATCATTACTTATAACAGAAGTAGCATCATCAAAACTTGTGACATATCAGGATTAATAACATGTGGTGGTGTTGCAAGTCTACTCAAAACAGAAGGCGGATCAAGTAGAGAGCTAGATAGTAGTT